AAGAACCAGAAACATTGTGCCGGCACCGATGGTCCAGACAGTACGCAATACACTTGAATACAATGATTGCATCAAATCTGCCGCGCAGCGAATCGAGTGCAGCAGTGGGCCCCTCTGCTTGTTTTGTGCTTTGGAGTATCGTTGAAAGCCTAAACCCTAAACATAGTAACAACACGAAGCCCAGCTGCCCTCTGTCAAATTTTGCTGTTCGTCTAGAACACTACACCGTCCCACGGAGCTAAACTGAATCAAGTTGATCCTGTGAGCTCCGGACGATCCTCAAAATGAGGATGTTGATCATAGGCTTGCCTCTGAGACTAGCCTTTGTGAAACATATCCGTAAGGCTGCGACACGATGCCGCGTCCCTCTCCATCTCTTTTTCCTTTCGACGCTTCGCCGTTGATGCGGAGTTTGGCACTGCCTGACCACAACAACTTCACCGAGCATGGTCTATGGTGGATTTAGAGTTTAAGACTGGCATAGCTTGAAATGGGTTAGAGTCATACTTTGGGCTCCTGGTTGTCCACGAGTTCAGAAAAATGTCTGATCGAATGCTGGGCCTGCAAGCTGCGCTTCGGGGGCTCAGGTGGCTCAGGCTCGGTTTTAAGCTTCTTCATGGCCGGCACCAGGGTCTCGACTGACGTGTCACTTGCCATTGCTGCGGCGGAGCGCTCGTTGTCGCGGCCGCCATCATCTGCCGGGCTGCATGGCTTGCCGCCATCAGCTGCATCTGCAATGGATTTCTTAATGCTGTCATCCTGGTCGCCATCTCGGCCGATGAGGTCGTCCACCGTGCCGCCCTGGCCGCTCGGATCTGCGGTCGTTGCGATGTCCCCCTCCTTTAGAGCGCCGCAATCATCTTTCGGCTTGCCGGTCTGATCATGATCGTTGGCCATTTCTGTGGAGCTGTGGCGGCCTTGACCACCATCATGTTCATCCTGTTGGCTTGATTCAACGAAAACCTAATAACCTAAACGTAAACTTTGTCAGCCCTATAGTCCTACAAAAACTCGGCAAGACCGAACAGACACGTATGAAAGAACAATACACTCCCCTAAAACACAGTCACCAAACACTCCGCCAAGTTGCTACAGTGCTTATTCTAGGTTTCGGAGGTTGCGTCTAGGATTCCCGGTTTGATAGAGGTTGCGCTGTATGGGAAACCGCAACCTTCACCTGATGATCCTAAATTCTTGCTGCCTCGTTCGTGACACCTATCAAGAATCAAGGAGCCTTTAAGAAGCCTAAAGGAGCAAATCCCAAACCCAAAAACCCTTGAATCCCTGACTAAAACCGAACAACCTAGAGCCTAGAGCTTACATCCCAAACCTCAAGCTCGAACCCTGAGGCCAACAAATGCGATTCTCGGGTCGTGAAGCATGTGTCCTTGCCCGCCGCTCCAGGGCAAGCAATTTTCGCCTCCACCGGCAGGTCAGGGACTTGCTTGCCAGCCTGTCCAGTCAACCCCTGCCCCTACCTAACTAAATTCACTAAACACCCCTACCCCAACACGAAGCTGGAACTTTACTCATGCAATTTACAAGTACACCTCAGAAGCAAGTCCGAAGGCTACATACACATAGTGCACATATCTGGGCGGTCCTTTCGATCCAAAGCCCTTGTCCGAAGATCCTCAGGCACCAACTTCATGTACTCCTGTCGGTCATGGTTCTGCTTGTACCAAACATCCCAGCTCTCGACGTCAGCGAGTTGATCACCTTCGGGATCTCCAAACTCGAACTCCTCGTAGTCCTCGCCGAGCTCGTCCCTCAAATGATCCAAGTAGTCCTGGAAACGCGGGTGCTTTCGAATTTCCTGAATGAGGAAAGGCATGTCGGTCTCGAAATGGATCCAGTCTAGCTCCGGCACAGTGGTTTGCAAAGGCATCACCGGCGTTGCTGGCGCTGGCTCCTTGCAGAAACACGCTTCATATCAGCAGCAACACATCGCATACTCCAACCTCAAACATAAAGGACTCAAAGCTTCCAAGGTAAGGTTCAGGGCTGTTTGTGGTTTGTGGGAGATGATGGCGATGATGATCCGATGATGGTCTTTTACAGCACACATGCCATCCTGCATCAGTGCATCATGCGGCATGAGCCATGAGTCCGAGGCACGGGGACGGGGGCCTTCGGTGGTTCTTCCGCTTCATGGTCTGACTGCTCGTCCAAAGCCTGCGGACTGCATCGGTGCAGCTGCACATCATACATATAATTACACACCCTCCTGATACTTTGAGTGAACATGCGTGATTATCAGCAACAAGAACCTAGTCTGAGTTTGGAATGCCGTGCTTCGCCGGTAGGGGCGAGCGCTAGGAATGATTGTACAGTTGTACTGTGTTCAAACTGTCTTCCTTGTTTGGCAGCATGAGACTCAGATGCAAAATCGGCACACGCCTAGTCCAGGAGATTCCGTTGCGAAGGCACGCGCGCTGGAAGCTTGGTGTCATCCGTCTGAGGCAGCAGTCGAAGCAACACGTCCACATCGGGTCTGGTTTTCACCTCCGCCAAGGATTCAATAACCAGTACAAACACTCCAATCCCAGCTAAAACGTCTACTCCTAATTGCTTGAACGGACCGTATCCATCCGAACCTATGTCTATTTCTGATCGACAGGGTTTGCTTCATGATAACATCGGCGCCGTCTATCAGTGCCCTGGCCCTGACCCACTCTTCGCGGACTGCTTTTTTGATTTGCACAACAACCACACTCAAAGCGATAGTGCTCAACTGGCTCCGCTCTAGGATCTACAGCACCAGCAAATCTTGGTGCTTTCTGTTTACAGAATAGAGTCCGGGAGGATCGGCCTGAGAGCTGATGAGCCGGAGCGATGCAACTGTCTCGTCGTTGAAGATCATGTAATTGCATCTGCGGTTCAGGTATGTTCATGCTCCAAGGAACGAAAAGCAACTACTAAGCCACTAAGCCTCTCAACCTTCAAAGCCGTGTGCATTCAATGTGACGATGTCGCGGTTTTTCCCCATCCTGCCTCAGAGACACAGAGTGGTCGTTTAATGCTTTCTCGGCACAAATGTGGCCCATTGGGGTGAAGAGTAGGTCACCGCTGCGCAAGTATCCCATCGCTAAGGATGGGAGGCTTAAAGCATCCGGCATTGTAGACGCATCCATGGATGCCAAGCAGTCACGCAGCTCTGTGAGGTTTTGCGTGCGGTAGTGCGCGGCGAGCTCGCCGACATCTGCCATGATCACGATCCTGCCTCCAGACACCTATGCTTCAAGTCTGACACGACTGCAAGGCCACAAAAAAGAAGAGTAGAAGTACCCCCGCACAGTCACCCCTCCGACCCCGTCCCCCTCCGGTCCCTCCCCCAAACTGTTGTACCCGGGGATCAATCCAAGTATGTTTGTATGCAATGCACCCGCTTTACTAAACTATAATGGTACAGTTGTTCGCTTATTGGGGCGTGAACAATACATGTTGCTTTGCTTATTGTGGGTTCAATCCAGGTATGTTCGCAGGTATACAGTTGTTTCGCTTATTAGGGCGTGAACAACTCAAGTTGCTTTGCTTATTGGGGGTCAATCCAAGTATGTTCGTATGTGTACAGTTGTTTCGCTTACTGGGGGGCGAACAGTACCTTTTGCTTTGCTTCTTGGGGGGCCAATCCAAGTATGTTCGTGGGTGCGCAGTTGTTTCGCTTATCGGGGCGGGAACAATACATGTTGCTTGGCTTATTGGGGGTCAATCCAAGTATGTTCGTAGGTATACAGTTGTTTCGCTTATTGGGGCGTGAACAATACATGTTGCTTTGCTTATTGGGGGTCAATCCAAGTATGTTCGTATGTGTACAGTGGTTTCGCTTATTGGGGCGTGAACAATGCAAGTTGCTTTGCTTATTGGGGGGTCAATCCAAGTATGTTCGTAGGTATACAGTTGTTTCGCTTATTGGGGCGTGAACAATACATGTTGCTTTGCTTATTGGGGGTCGATCCAAGTATGTTCGTATGTGAACAGTTGTTTCGCTTATTGGGGCGTGAACAATACATGCGGCTTTGCTTATTGGGTGGGGTCAATCCAAGTATGTTCGCAGGTATACTCGCTTATTGGGGCGTGAACAATACAAGTTGCTTTGCTTATTGGGGGGCCAATCCGAGTATGTTCGTAGGTATACAGTTGTTTCGCACACTGGGGCTTGAACAACACATGTTGCTTTGCTTATTGGGGGGTCGGTCAACCCAAGTATGTTCCTAGGTATACAGTTGTTTTGCTTATTGGGGGTCAGTCCAAGTATGTTCGTATGCAATCCACCGTCGCTTGTTGGCTCACAACCACCCAGCTCCAGCCTTCCTCCGCATAACATATAGCAATGATTCACTAGATCTCCACGGATCACAGCAATGGTTTCAGCTTTAAGTCAAGACCTCCCAATTACACAATCGGACAAAGAAGCCTGAAGCTTCAACGACGGCAGGCCGAAGTTCTCCACACCACATGGCGTGGCTTTCTGAGGCACGCCGACCAACGCCACCGTGCCCATTGTTCGCAGGGCCTTCAAGGTGTTCTGCCTGTCAGCTGCATCGTCCAGCTTCAAAGCCTCTGCCCTCAAGCTGTCCATCTCCAACACTTGCGCAGTCCAGCTGTCAGGCATCTGGAATTTCAAGGCCTCGATGATAGTGTCCACCGTTTTCTTGACATTGGTCGCCGTCACATCCTCCGCCGAAGGGTTCTCCTCCGCGTGCATGCACGCCCTTGGACACCGCTGCTGAAAACAAACGAGTACTGGTTGATTACAGGCAAACGAAGTGTGGGCAGTTTCAGGGTGGTGGCGTTCTAATCGCGTGTCTCACAGGACACCTTTCCGGAAGCCTTTCCGTCGTGATCTCAACTGTTCCTTTCAACCTGATCACACTGAAGGCTTAAGCTCGAGAGTGCGGGTCTTAGGCTCGAGACTTCTAGGACCGCAGTTCCACTGCACAGTTACGCCCATATCGGGCCAGCAAATCTGAATGCAGTGGTGCACAGAATCACCAACTTCAGCCATGAATCTGAAACCTTGCCACCGTCGTCTCTCCGAGCTTCTTCTTGAACTCCTCCAGCGCGCCTTCCAGCGTTTGTTTGACTGTCTGGTCCTTCACTATCGCTGACAGCACGCTGCGGCCCTTCCTCAGGATGAAGCCGTTGCCCACGTCCATCTTTGAAATGGCCTCCTCAACGTTCTTGATCAGCAGCATCTCGCGCTTGCCATGCATGTGCCTTATGTGACAGTTTGTTAAGGATTTGAATTGGTGAAGCTGCTGAGACACAAACCATTTTGTGTACTGCTTAATAGTCGTTTCTGAAGCCTGGCCACTTGTATCCCCGGATAACCGGAGGGTCACTGTCGTTCACGGCCAAACTGCTGAGGTTTGGCCGCCCCTGCAAGGTGCCGGGTGCACCACCTGCGGTTGCTCGGGCCTTTTCTTGATCGTAGCGCTCTTTGGCTTTCTGCAGCTGCTTCTGGGTGCCTTGGACGTCTTTCATCGATCGCTTGAGAGCTGCCACCACCAGCTTCATGTCTTTCACCGAGTCGCCAACATCGCTGGCCTTCTTTGCGAGCTGGTCTTTGTCGGTGCAGCTTGCGAAAACTGCGTCGGTATCGGACAAGCTTGCAAATACATCAGCCTTCGGCGCTGATGCCATCAGAAACTCATCCATCATCAGGAGATCCTTGAAAGCTGCCTCGGACGCATGATTGCCGGGGTTTATCGGTGAAACAGTTGGTTTAGAGACGTAGAAAACAACGTAGAACGGACTTGGACGGACCAGGCACGGAAGCCTCCTGCGCGTTCGCAGGCGGATCGCCCCCCGTGTGTGGCTCTGCCGCATCACTCTCACCCTCCGCAGTTGTCTGCGCTGGCATGAGAGTAAAGCCCTGCTGGACATCGCGAAATCCGAAATGCAAACTCCGTTTTATTCTAAGGACTCGAAGTTTACAGACAGTCGGATACAGCTGTCCCAGCGGTCCTCGACCTCACAGCCGAACGACATCAGCTCCACCATCTGGAGCCGATGCATAACCGAATACATGAGCTTCACCATCACCGACTGTTCTCCTGGAATCCACACTTGCAAAACATGGCCCAGAACAGGAGTTTGCACCGCAAGACCACAAGAGCAGACGAGAGTCCCAAGCCCAGCTCAGATGCATCTTTGACAGCTCTGTCCCGGTCGATGCCCTTGTTCGTCAGGCGCCGATAGGTTTGCAACACGTCTGCGTGCTCCTGCCTTGCTTGCAACTTGCAACCAGGGTAACAAAGATTTAGCTTTCTTGCGGGCCACAACAGATCACACCGCAAGAGAATTCTGATAGATATTGACCGATATAAAACAATCAGACTAATCAGTTATTTCTTGCACTCCATATCCCATCATGCCATACAAGAATTCGGATGGATATTGACCGATATCAAATAATCGGGTTTATCGATTATTTCTTGCAGCCCACGATACATCACGCCAAAAGAGAATTCGGATGGGTATTGACCGATATCAAGCAATCAGATTAATCAATTATTTCTTGCAGCCCCCACACACATACAGACGCATCAGGAACGCAACATCCATGCAACAGCTACGCTGCCATTACTTGCAACAAGAATCCGAAAAGCTTCCCACTTGCTCTTCACATCCAAGAACATACCGTTCAGGAGTCGCAGATGTGGCAGAAGCTTGGTGGCCTGTCTCACGCGCAAAGTCGCAAGATCTTCAGGCTTCTTCTGCTTCTTGCCCCCTTTGCCTTTTGTGGCCTTGGCCTTTGCAGACACCTGCTGCGGCGTAAGCACGCAAACATCATCATCCTGGCCTTCGTCCACCAACATCTTTGAACTCGCGAAGAACTCGTCATCTTCGAAGCTCAAGAACCCTGCCAAACGGGCCTTGGCAGCCTTCACGGTGGCGTCATTGACCTTGTCCGTCTGGTCAACCTTGTTGACCGTCCTAAACGAATCTTCCATCTGCTCCTTCTTCTTCCTCAAGGTTGTCGGGATCCACATTATCTCCTTGTCCTCGAGCTCTCCCGTTTTCCGGTTGAGGAACTTTCTGGTCTCCTGCATCAAATTGATGGTCGCAGTGCGAAGTATGTCAAACTCACAACTTCAACTACTTCTGAACGGGGGCCTTCTCTACATCCGGGTTCTTCTTGTCTCGCAACCAAGCCAGCTGGGCTTCAGCTTCTGTCAGCAACTCATCGTCTGCAAGAAGTGGCGAAGATGTAAAGTGCTTGATGTACTGGGATTGCGTGAATCCCGAGAAGCCGGCAACCTCCCGGGCCCTCTTGCGATGATCAGTGCCCTCCAGGTACTGCAACACGTTGAAGTTGCCCTTCCTCTTGCCGCGGCCCACCACACCCCTCGTTTCCTCACGAAACTTCTGGAAAACTTTGCGATACTCCTCCACATCAGTCTTGGCGAGCGTTTTCAAGTAGTCACGCGTGCCTCCTGCACACATTTCTCAGAAGCTGGAACCTGCCGATAGAATGGGCTCAGGGTTGAGAGACGAAGAAAACGGTGGAGGCTTGAAAGCAAGCTTGGAGTCTCGGAGATACGTGCGTGTTGCAAACAGACAATCAGGCGTCCGTTCATAGCTCAATGCGCTGCTTGCATAATGCCAGCCTTCCAGATTCCAGACTTTAGTCAGTCTGTTGAAAATTTACCATGACCGCCCTTTAAAACCTAATTTGCATTCGGGAACCGGAGCAAAGAGCACGAGCAAGAGCAAAAGCAAGCAACAATAGCAAGATCGAAAGCAAGCGTAGGAGCGAGTGCAAGATGCAGCAGGAGCAGGAGCAAGAGCTAGAGAGCAAGAGCAAGGTCCCAAACGCATCAAGCACGTTTACGTCACGCAGCATTGCCAGCATCAACTGCGCTTGCGGACTGAACTCAGAAGCTCATCTTCAAGACACACAAAGTCCTTTCTTGGCGGGCTTGGAGGACGACGACTTCGCGCCGCCATCTGCTACCTCCTGATCACAGCAGGCACGACACGACCGCCAGATAGTGACACACAGGCCGAAGTGGCCGAAGCCTCGTCATCGGAGTCGGCATCCTGGTCCTCCATGCACGCCTTCCGAATGTTGCGAAGGTCCAGGCTGCATTTCGGGCAGTGGTCCGCGTAGCTCGTTATTGTGCTCGCGGGGTCCGCCAGGTACGACACAGCACAAACTATGCATTTGCACATGGGTGTGAGCCCACCCACCAGATTCGGATCAGCCATGACTGCTGTGTCTTAGCCTACCCTTACCCAGCACTGGCCCAGCATGCTCACAGCCGCAACGACTCCGGCAATAGCGCTGTCACATGCGCACGTCGATCCTAATGCACTCCAGACTCCAACTCCTGCATCTGTGTAACTGCTGAACAAGAGAATTCAACACAGACAAAAATGTCTTCGGGAGTTGGGCCTCTGGGCAGAACCGTGTCACTGCACATAAGATATCCAGCAGACTCACCTTGTTTTGCATCCGCTCGCCCGCGCCCTATTCATCTTCATCAGCCTCATCGGCCGTGCCTTCGCCTTCGCTGCCGTTACAGATCACGGCCGGCTGCAACTGTCGATCCCCAAGGGGGCGTACCATGGCAAGCAGAAACAACATAAACGTCGTGGCACACGGCAAATTAAAAGTATTGCCGCTCATGCGGCGAAGAGAGCTCCCGCTGATGTCGCCAAGCGACATGAGCGGAGCAGTCGATCCGTCAGCCTCGATGCAGCCTGAATATCGAAGTGTGCTTTCGTAGACTGGGATACCCTGCGCAGTGAGGAGCTCCTCACAGGCTTGAATAGTACTGCACGGATTAACAGAAAGAATAAGGATTTGGAGATCGGCCGAATCGGCGGGATGTATTGGCGTCCAGTGGTGTCTACAGTTTGCATGTCTGCCGAGTTTTAGTCTGTTTCTGACAACTGCTCTTCGCCCTTCGCAAAACAGCCAACAACCACAACAGCAACTTACCCACATTTCACTGATCAAGGGTCCTTCGCAGTGAAGGGCCGGTTTCTGAGCAAAGACCACATGTATGTGGTTGATGCCAGTATCACTGGCAAGTGCTTCCCGACATGGGAAGCTGAATGCTCAATGTCCTGGTCCAAGTTCAGTCCCAGCTCGCAGGTTTGTGACTGGAGCACTTCCTTAATCTCATCCAAAGCTTTGATTTTGTCCAGATGCCCTCTGGCTGACACGGGCAACAGATCTTCCCAGCTTTCGTGAGCACCCCGACAAACATTCCTGGCCATAGAGGCCTTCAGCTCATGCACCTGCTCAAATCTAGTGGCTGCTGAGTTGCTCTTACTCTCTGGCTCTCTCTCTCTCTCTCTCTCTCTCTCTCTCTCTCTCTTTCTCTCTCTCTCTCTCTCTCTCTCTCTCTCTCTTTCTCGCTCTATGTCTCGCTCTCTCTCGCTCACACGCGGGCGGACTCCTACGTGCCTACCTCCTCTGCAGGAGCGAGCAAAAAGGCCCCGCAATCCAGCTCGTCGTGTGTCAAAATCGTCATCCGAAACATCTCATCCAATCCGCACTCGAGATCATGATCTTTTCTGACCAATGCACTGTAAGATCTCGTGCGTCTGGCTGGGCAGCCGAAGTCTTCCGGCTTCAGGAAAGTGTGGTGCAGCTGGTATAACTCAGAGAGGAGCGCGGACAGCATTGAGAAGTCGAAGGAACGGGTATTCTCATGCAAGAATAAGATGGGCTTGACTTTCAGGATCACCGCTATCATGATGACGAATGCTATTCCGTTTGGGCCGAAGAACCCATGGGCTTTCCCCATACTTGACCTCCAATGATTGATTCAACAACCACTAGGCAAGTCTCAAACTGTATCTGTTGCAATCAATCTACCATCTTGCAAAGCCTCATATCTGCGAACCAGGTGCCAGTCCTTGCATGTCGACCCTGCCATAAGCAGGGACATAGCTTCAGCAGAAAAGAAATCCCCGCTGACCAGGGATACCTGGCACTGGCACTGACATGGTTTGGACTAGGACTAAAGCACGCATCATCGTCAACACCATGGACCATCGCTGCAACTGTTCAACTGGTGGAAAAGAGGCGAACTACGAGAACTCACACACGCAGGGAACTCCACACCAGAATCCATTGACCCGCCTTGCGATGCTTCGTGTCCCAAACAGAATCCAAAATGCCACCATGCTTGTGTATCGCCGCAAGCATGGATTGAACGAGTGAGTGGGCTTCACGAGCAGCTGCCTCCTTCACTTCAGGCGATGACCCTCCTTTGGGCCGGCCTCTCCCGGAAACCTTGGCATCCCCCTTGGAGGCCCCTTTGCGTTGAACAAAAGCAGGCTTCGTTTTTGCTTGCTCCAGCAACGCACGCATCTCCGTCACAGCCTCCTGGCTGACAAAGTCCGTCAAGTTCCCCACGATGCTGCGAGGAGGTACCTCATGGAATAATGAGATAATGAGACACCAACAGGCGCGCACACGCACACAGACACTCACACACACACACACAAACAAACACTGTCACACAATGTGCATGATCACAAGGCAGCCTGGACACACTGTGTTGCTCTAGAGCCTTCTGGCAGCTACTATCCATTTCACACGCCATGATAGGCACCGGAGGCCCCGGAACCACCAAACCATGAAGTCTACAATGCTCTTTGGTTGCGATGTATGCCAATGACGCTGACAATTCGGCACCGCCCAGGCCACTGTACAGGCTTGCCACTCGCATGTAGTCCAGGTTGTCGCGCAACCTGACGATGGCCTCATCTCCCCAATGCTCTTGAATCCGCTGAAGGGATCTAAAGTGATGCGAGAAAATGTCCCGAAGGCAAACTGCTTGGTTGGCCTTGCCGAGTGAAGACTCAGGCTTGGTCTTGGGCATACACTCATCCTGAGAATCACCGTCGTAAACCAAACAGGATACCTGGCTACAAAGGTCAACTGACTGCTGTGTCGCAGGTGGCTCGTCGGCAACACTGCTGCCGACACGGCTGCCTGCACTGCTGTCGCTGCTGTCGCTGCTTTCGCTGCTGCTGTCGTTGCTGGAGCTGTTGCTGCTGTCCTGAGCGTTTGCTTCCACTTCCGAAGCTTTGACTGCCGGCTTAGGCTTGGCCTTTGCCTTTGACTTTCGCACAGCCTTACGCTTAGCGGCGCACTTTCGCTTCGGCGCCGGCTTGGCCTTTGCCTTTCGTGCAGGCTTAGACTTGGCGGCACGCCGTCGCTTCGGCGCCATCCATCAACACCCGCTGGTACACTGTTGCAGGCAAGGACACAGGAGAGTCTAAGCAAAACGAGGCGGAGGAGGCCACAAGCCACAAGCTACACACTGCACCATTGAATGAAGAATCTGGACGAAACAACCACTGCTCTACTCTAGACGTTGCTTTACCCACCAACTTGCCACCAACACTGAACCATTGCTATGTGACTATACATTGTGATTCTTCCCCTCTGCTACACTGTTGCAGGCGAGCGCACAGGAGAATCTAAGCAGATCGAGGCCGCAAGCTGCACCATTGAAGCGGTCTGGACGCACTGCACCATTGAAAGAATCTGGACGAAATAACCACTGCCCTATGCTATACCCACATCGCTTCACAATTTACTTTGCTAGTGGGGTGTGGCGCTCGGCAATTTCTTGTACTTCGCTAGTGGGGTAGCCCCCCGGCGGTAGCGCTCGGCAATTTTTTTTTAACGTTGCTAGTGGGGTAGCCCCCCGGCGGTAGCGCTCGGCAATTTTTTTATACTTTGCTAGTGGGGTATAGCCCCCCGGCGGTAGCGCTCGGCAATTTTTTTTTACTTTGCTAGTGGGGTAGCCCCCCGGCGGTAGCGCTCGGCAATTTTTTACTTTGCTAGTGGGGTAGCCCCCCGGCGGTAGCGCTCGGCAATTTTTTTTTACTTTGCTAGTGGGGTAGCCCCCCGGCGGTAGCGCTCGGCTTTTTTTTTTCTTTGCTAGTGGGGTAGCCCCCCGGCGGTAGCGCTCGGCAATTTTTTTTTTTACTTTTGCGCTCGGCAAATTGTTTTTTACTTGCTAGTGGGGGTGCCCCCGGCGGTAGCGCTCGGCTTTTTTTTTTCTTTGCTAGTGGGGTAGCCCCCCGGCGGTAGCGCTCTGCAATTTTTTTTAATACTTTGCTAGTGGGGTAGCCCCCGGGCGGTAGCGCTCTGCAATTGTTTTTTACTTTGCTAGTGGGGTAGCCCCCCGGCGGTAGCGCTCGGCAATTTTTTTTACTTTGCTAGTGGGGTAGCCCCCCGGCGGTAGCGCTCGGCAATTTTTTTTACTTTGCTAGTGGGGTAGCCCCCCGGCGGTAGCGCTCGGCAATTTTTTTTTTTACTTTGCTAGTGGGGTAGCCCCCCGGCGGTAGCGCTCGGCAAATTTTGCCTACAGGCCTTAGGCCCTAAGGTCGATCCCTCAGCCCTAAGCCCTAAGCCTAAGCCCGAAACCCCAAAGCCTACAGGCCTTAGGCCCTAAGGTCGATCCCTCAGCCCTAAGCCCTAAGCCTAAGCCCGAAACCCCAAAGCCTACAGGCCTTAGGCCCTAAGGTCGATCCCTCAGCCCTAAGCCCTAAGCCCTAACCCCAAAGCCTACAGGCCTTAGGCCCTAAGGTCGATCCCTCAGCCCTAAGCCCTAAGCCTAAGCCCGAAACCCCAAAGCCTACAGGCCTTAGGCCCTAAGGTCGATCCCTCAGCCCTAAGCCCTAAGCCTAAGCCCGAAACCCCAAAGCCTACAGGCCTTAGGCCCTAAGGTCGATCCCTCAGCCCGAAACCCAAATCCTGAGCCCTGAGGCCTAAGCCCTAAGGGCTCAGCCTTAAGCTTTAAGGCCTGAGCCAGTGCTCGGCCATTTTCTTTTTGTATTTTTGGTAATGGTGGGAACCTGGTCGGAGTTTGTCGGATCGGAAGTCGGATCGGAAGTCGGTCGGAAGTTGGTCGGAAGTTGGTCGGAAGTTGGTCGGAAGTTGGTCAGAAGTTGGTCGGAAGTTGGTCGGATCGGACCAACTTGTGCGTTGGTCGGAAGTTGGTCGGAAGTTGGTCGGATCCGACCAACTTCCGACCAATATTGTAAAATAACGACATCAGAAGTAGTTTCGCTTGGTGATTCGGTTGGCACAACCACTTGTTTGCTTCTTAAAATTGAGTCTCAAACACTTCTGGGTCCACTATTTTTTCAGAAACCACTTTTGGAAGCCTTATTTTTGGTCAAAAACCACTTCTATGATCGTTAAATATTCGAGTTGGTCAGAGCATAATTTCCTGATCTGCTGCGGAAATTCCAAACCAATCAGACGAATTTCCCAACCAAATTTCCCAGAAAAAAATTGCAAATTTCGAACAGACCAGCCTTATCAACTGGCCGGCCAACCTCCGACCAATTTCCGACGAAGAGTCCTGGCCAACTTCCGGCCGACCTGTTTCCGCCCAACCAGACCAACCTCATCAATCGGCCGACCAACCTCAGACCAGTTTCCGAAGAACCAACCAAAGTTCCCGACCGAACACAATTCCAATCCTACATCGTCGAAAACTCTTGGTTCACATAAACAACAGATGCAATAGCACCGCCCCTCCCACTGCATACCGTTTTATTGCCGTAAATAATGTAGATGGTAAATGCAAGTAAGACATAGGTCTTAAGGAAGCATGATGCATGGTAGTTCGCATGAAGCTTATGTGCGGATATATAATATATACATACGGCGAATTAAGTCTATGCAAACCTACCCATGACCCATGGGACCCGATTTCGTCCAGACAAAGCTTTGGCAACAGATGCATGGAATCGATTTCTGATGTTCGTGCGGTCACTGCGGTCACCGAGATCTACGTGTTGCGTCGACTCAAGACTCCACTCTCCACCAAACGCTCAAGTAGCTTCTGCTCAGCTGAAACATCAAGACAACAGTCTAATTACCGATCACCTGGCAGGAAGACCTGCCAATACATTCTCCCAGTATAAGTTGACAATTGCCCGCTCCACGTTGTAGCGGGACTTGTAAGGTTGGCCCTCGTCGCCCCAGACAATGTATTTCCGCTTGCGATCAGAATAATATCTCAAAGCCTCGCGCACTAGCTGAACCTGCTGCAGCTCCCCTGCAGCTCTTGCTGCAGAAGCATGATGCTTACGAAGGTACTTCGTCACTTTCGGTAACACCAAGGCAATTGCATCACGCCTTGATTGACAATGCCTGCCAACTCCAGTTCTCGCTTCTGGAGAGTCTTCACTGGCACTGTCACTGTCAGTGCCTGTGTCGTTATCAGCATCATCATCAGTATTACCATCATGACGAACATCGGCAGCATCGGCCGACACACCACGGCCCCGACCCTCCATTGGAGGGCCACCTCTCGCAAGCAAATTGAAGACCGCATCATTATCCTGAACCAGGCACATCATGGTTGAGTTGCTTGATAACAAAAACGGACTGGGGCTTACTGCTGTCCCTCTGATCCGACTGTACACCCAGAAGAAACCCACTAACTTCCCCCCGAAAAGTACTCAAAGGGTTTTGCCAAGGGTTCAGGTAGCATACTGTCCATGCGTCCGTTCCAGTATCTTGTTTCCACGATGTCGTATGTGTGAGTGCAGGCCAACTCAACTCAAAACACGACTGCGACTGAAGACACTTGTTTGACTTCTCAACATGGACCACTAACTGAGGTTTGGGGCTAAGTGCACTGTGCACGCCAACTTGCCTCAACACGCAATTGCGACATACTGCGACTACAGACACTTATTCAACTTCTCAACTCGCTTATAGGGTGCGGGGTTTCAGGGCCTAGTGCTTGCTCTGTCTAGTTACTTCATGCGGCGCACTAGCATCCGGCCGCCGGTCTACCACTACTTGGAGGATCATGGGACTTAGTAAGTAGGTTATAATTGGGGTTATAAGTCCCCTAAGTGGGGTTATCCTAATTATAACCTACTTATAACCTTACTTACTAAGTCCCATGAGCCTTCAAGTAGCCTGTAGCACTGTAGCCTACCTGTCCTACATGGCGCACTAGCAGCCACCCAGCCTACCGTAGCTTACCTGCCGCATGCGGCGCACTAGTGGCCGCCCCCACACCCTAGCCTGCAAAGGTTTCCTGGCGGCGTACCTACTACCCCCCAAGCATTCGACAGAACAAACCTGCGCCCGATCTCCAAGAATAGCGATAGCACAAAGCAAGACATTCGGGGATGTTGCGCACTTGGAGTGCATGCTTCACAAACAACGACAGTATGGCCTCAAACATCGGCTGAAGATCCAGCGGCTCCTCGTTGTAATCCTGAAAACAAGCAGCTGCAACAGAAACCAAGCTAAACATGATCCCCAGCGGACATCAACCGACTAAACTTAACCCCGAACCGTCAGCCTCCAATCTAGCGAATCTAGCGCCTTGAACTTGAACTGTTTCAGACTCAACCCAAAACCCTAAGCGCAACTGTCGGAAGACACAGATCAGCTTTCCCGAAGCGTTCTGGATGCTACACCACATCTGTCAAGCACCGATGCTACAAACAAGCAACAACGCAAGGAGCGCTCACGTACGGACTTTCGAAGTTGACCTTACATGGGTCTGGCTTCTGCCTCCTCGTTGTTCACATCAACAATGCCGGGATGAGGAAGATCGCCGGCCTGCAGGAGAAAGTGCACGCCACACACACACACACTCACACTCACATGCTCACCTACAGACAGGGGGTTGGACATTCAGCAGGAACTATCCAAGACCAATGGACACTGTGACATACACCAAGACCCCAAGCTTATCTGGATAAATTTACGGACCTCCACTGCGCTTTGCCACAGACGAGTGCCCGCCTCGAGCTGAGATTCAGGGTCCAGCTCCTGCGCACCCACCTGCGAAGGTGCGCACATACACATACTTGCAAAGTAATCGTTCAAGAGCCACATAAATGGAATCCATCATGAGAAATGAGGCACCGGTATACGGACACAGCAGCTCCATGCCTTGCCGAGTTAAGCAAACATGGTTCATGAGTTAGGGCAACCCCGAGCGAGGCCTGCAATTCTTCGTCCTCAACATGATCGGGCTCAGCCGGCAGAGGCAGAGTGTCATCATCCTGAGAGACACATGCAGACCGCGTAATCACAGGCACGGCATAAGGAGTCCATGACTCGGACACTATCGGGCACAAGCTGCTCACACTGAAGGGTCCAACTCCGGCCCAATAAAGACTATGATGTATATTGCACTTGCACGACTCCTGCTGCATTGGCATGAGAACTCCTCGACACTGACGTCCACCAGCGCTCGAGAGCAGCATCCTGGCCACATGGCAAATTGCAAGGGAACTTGCATCCTGACACTGCTACTAATTACCTACGGGGCCGCAGACTTCTTTTCCTAGCCAGACAGTCCTGTACTGCTTGGCCGATAGATTGGGCAACACAGACGGCATGCGTTCAGAGGACGCAGATAGAAGAGTTGCATAGTAGGTCTCGATGCACCCGTGGTGGATCCCTTGACACCCGCGAGCACACAAACGCTCAGCGTTCAGCAGGGCGAGCCCGTAGAAGAACCCGTTGCCACAGTACTGTTTTGGAGCGCCTTTCGGAGCATTCACAGCACCCACAAAAAACACAAGCATTGCTTTATTTACCCGAAACAGAGCAATGAGCAAACTAGCAGCGGCCTGGCACATACGGCTGAAGTCTTCTGGCAGCTGGCTTCTGTACCAGACTCCATCCTTCCTGCCCCAAGCGCAAATGAACTTCAAGGCGGGTTGGTCGTATGTTCTTGGTGATGACAGAGGCATCGAATGGAACTCCAGGTCTGACGGCAAAAACCTTACGTTGGCAGGCTGTCCGCATTTGACATTCTGCATGCTACAGTTACTGCTAGGTTCGTAGAGTTCGCACCAAGGCAGCTCGCCTGACGGGGCTGATGCAGCTGCACGGTGTCGGATTGCAGTGTGTGCTTGCTCAGCACAATGTCCTGTTCACCGCATCTCTTCACTAAGTTTCTGCGGAGAAGAATATCCAAGCTGTGGCGGTCTTCTTGCGAAAAGCCTGAAACATCGAACTTGTTGCCAGTGCCCTCTACAGCCTTGGCCTCCAGACAATCACGCAACAGATTCTCTGCTGACGAGCACAAGCCCGAGACATGAGAAGCAAATCGCAGGGGCAGTGCATCCCGCATCTGCCATTGTTGCATGTGAAGCAAGACATCCTGACATACATCATCTCTCATTTTGTCGAAGAGGTGCACCAGAGGCAGGTCTTGATGTTTGCTCGGCGCCGCAGAAATCGAAGTGTCTTGTTCTTCGGCGGTCATGGACATCACATCATAGATGCGAATGGTCATGTCATGAGGCAGGATGCCATCCACTGATGCTAGGGGTCTCTTACGTAGATGTGGCCGCTTGTTGGCCACCCTGAAAATCACCAGGCTGTCATCTGGTGTGTCTTGCAGGTTCTGGAGCACACTGTCCTTGCGGACGGACGAAGATGAAGAGGCTCTGCTCTGCAAGTGCTGGGCCGGTGCAATGTCAGTCTCTGCTTCAGGATCTACTTGGAGCCATGCCGGCAAAGCAGCTGATGTCCTGACAGCACATATTGTTGTCCCAGTGAAACGACACAAGAAACCCGAACCCCTGGCCCCTGACGCAGCGCCGCCTATACAGTGGGGCCATACACAAAGATCCACAATCAAAGACACTGCTTGTATGTTGCACAACAACTCACGGACAGCCCTTAACACATAACCAAACCTCAATCCGTGTACTACGTACGTCCCAAGGTCTCATCGGCCAGAGAATGAGATCGTTGCTCGCGGTCTGCCAGAGGCAGGTTTTGCTCTGCACTGCAAATGGGCAACACACCTGTCGCTCGCCCGATAGCTGGCGACGTCGTCAGTGCGTCTTGCAACGATTGAATTGGAACACGTTTCAGCAGGAATGCTGGCAAAGAGTAGAAGCCCGTATCGTCCATGACATCTCGGAAATGTTTGCTCATCATGTCTCCCAGACTGTTCACACCTTTGCCTTCGGTGAGCGCGGCCTTGCTTGCCTGCTGAGCAGCAATGTCCGAGTTGGGAATGACCTTTGCAGCCGTCTTCCCTCTCTTGAAGCGATGGGTTCGGTGATAAAGCAGTTCCACCAACTCTTTGTGGGAGAGTGTTCTGGTGGGCACACAGTTTGGCCCACCCACCAAGTGAGCAATTTCCACGGCTAGGTAGCTTTTGTCAGTGAGATGTTCGTACGCAGATGTCGCGGACTTCAATGCCTGCCGCTGAACATACAAACACTGCATTCAACACACACAACTTATGGCAATCCACGTGCCAACCAACTCGCTGCTGAACTGAAACCTCATTGGGAGACTAGCTGCTGTCTGTGGCAATGAAAAGGTCTCAGTGTTCGTGAAGGTGCTACCATGCGCTACCTCGCTTATAGCACTACTACTGCATGCAACGAACACAGTAGCACGTGGCCTCTCACGGAAGCACACCCGCCTCCGGCGAATTGAAGATGTCTTGAAAGGCATGGAGCCGAGCTTCCGTGCTGATCAAAGGCTCTGAAGAATTTGGCGCCCGACTCATCTGCTGAGCCACATTTCGGTGCTGGCCCTGACACACAGACACGAGCAGCGACAATATGTGTCCACGTCCACGCTAACATGTTGTGTCTATTCCAGGATTCAAGACAAGACTGCAACGGTGGCGGCTACTGCAGAGTCTAGCGGGCCTCTGTGTGCCGTTCATTGCATCTTTGCAGTCTGAGTGCACCAACCCATGTTCTGAGCTCTGTCAAATTTCGAAGCGGCTCTCCTTGAATAAAAGTGTCAAGAAGTGGTCTCAACGGAATGTCTGATGGGTCCGGACCGGTGAACGCCTGCACAGTGTCTGTCCGACATAACCCGTTATCGTCCCAATCACTGACTCCGTGCCGGATGCCGGACAGCTCACCCTACTAACTTAGTACGCAGACTGAACTAGGAAACGTTCACCAGCTCAAACAAGATCACAAACAGATTTAAGAACACTCGAGGCTCCGGGTTCAAGAACCGAGCAGTGATGGGGTGGGCATGGCCACTTGCTGATGAAGTCTCGTAGAGCTCGATGCAATCCCTGGCACATCGGCGCGCACACTCTGCATCCTGTGACCCCAACCCGCATAGCCGCCACGGAAGACATTTCCAGTGACCCGTCTTGAGGCGCAGCTCCGACAGTATCGCATCCTCAGAAAATGTCTCGCGCAAAAAAAGCAGCAACCCAGAATCTCACTAGACCGAACTTACTCAGATGTAGGGGATTCCGATAGAACGATTCATCCACAGGGATGGGCCGGTGCATCATACTCGTGGGTACACATGATAGGGAGACCCTACAGCACGCCAGTGTGGAAAACATAAGAACACACAAGATGAAGCGTCCGTCGCTGTGTGCCAGTCCTTTACTAGGATGCTGCGCTGCTGTTCGTCCAGAGGTGTGCACACAACCAGTAAATTGCTGCTCGCGATCTCCTGCAACTCCAAGCAAAACTCCTCGAAGGCTCCGCAGGCAAACTCGGGCGAGCGCCGCCCTCGAAGCTTGCACTTTGTCATTTCTTGAATGTCTTCTGCAGTGGAACCTGCACTTCCACTCAAGCCCCGAAAAACATACACAAACTAACATTTCATGAGCCCTGACACCGACATCCCCACAACTGTAGAGCCCGGAAAAAAACAGCTATGACACCGGCCTTCTTTGGTGAGTGCTCTGTAACTATAGGGTGTTCTGCATTCAAGCTCACGTTTACGAATGGCCAGATCTAATTTTCAATAGGATGGTTTTGACATCTCCGAGTCGTTGATTTCGGAGGTCTACAGTCCGGCGTGGTCCTCCCTAATTTCGGAAGACTCAGGCTTGGTTTGCCAAGGTTTTGGAGGATAGAGTGTACCCACTCACAACTCCGACTAGCCGGGCGAGGTCTCTGTGCGTAGGGTTTAAGTTTAGGGTTTAGGAAAGCAGGGCTTGGTTTGCAATGCGTCCGAGTTAACTTGGATCCGCCTGCCTGCCTGCTTCTCGACGCAGAGAACGTGCAATCGATCGCGTCCGCGATCTCCAGCTGCTCTGTCCCATGTGGCCGTGACATTCACAGCCTTCACAATACGAAGATTGTGACTCCAGCGTTCCTGCGAGGCAGTCGACCAACTCGCAGTATGCCCAGAACAGTGAGGAGCCAATGGTACTATTGACAGCGGTCACAAATCGAGCTTCGATGACAAATTTCGATCTGCGCTCGGCATCGCCCAAGCCATCTGAAACTAAGTCTGGACCGCCACCAAACTTCAGGCTATCGAAGCCCGCCATGAGCGCGCCACGTCTTTTAAGAAGAGCGCGGACCACAGTAACAACAGAAGACCACCTCCAGGTAATGAAGGAGCCTCCATCGTAGTAAGACATCACTCTCTTGAACTGCGCCGCAGGCCCCGACGAAAAACATGTGTCCTCACAGTCTGAGTGCGGACCCCCTCTGCTAACGATGCTTAGGCCGACTTGACACGCATCACGATCTCTACTTACTTTGCACAGAAGCGGCCACCAGCCGCTGGCGGTATTCTTTCTCATGCAGGAGGCGGGTCATCGTTCGAAGATATTCCTCTGCTGTCTGCAGAATGAAATGAAATTTCGCAGTTCGAGTCCATGTGGTGGGCTTCGAGGGTTTAGGGTTTAGGGAATTTCCTGGGCTGTCTGCAGGATGAAGTGAAATTCCGCTGTTCGGCTCGATTTGGTGGGCTTTGAGGAGGCAGTTGCATTAGAGACAATGAGAGTTGTTTGGAATATGGGACCCTTGAGACTAGGCACTCCTACTGCTAAGGCCAATCCCAGAAAATAGCTTGTAGCAAAAAAGGCAAGTACCAGCAGGCGCCGGTGCCTCCTTACACAACAGGACAAGGAAGCAAGCAAGCAAGCATCGGCAAAGGTCGGATACCATGCCAAACGGCCCAAGACGTAGTTGCTGATGTTGTCGAACATGTGCTTTATGCCAGGCATCTTCATGCTCCCCAGCAGCGAAATGCTGGCCGACGAGGCAGGTTCGTTTGCTATGGGCGGGGCTTGCACTCCAAGTATTTCTGCAGGGAGCTGTGCTGCAGCCATGTCACCATCAGCAGTAAACTCAGACAGAAGCCCATCCGGCCGGACGTCTTGCTTTTTCAGCAGTCCCCCAGAGTTTGACACGCCGGCCTCACGAAGGTCATCCAAATCAAGTGCCGGCACCTGCATGCTTCAGAGAAACAGCCACTCGCCACTCGCACCACTGTTGGCACTCTCGAGTCTTCTCTTCCCAAACCCAGGATTTAGAAAGTAGGACCCCCGAGTCCGTTTTAAGGTTCAGGGTTTAGGGTTAGGGGTTTAAAGTAGAACCCCTACGTTCCTTTTAAGGTTTAGGGTTCAGTTTGCTGTTTTCGTTTAGGGTAAGGGTCTAGAAAAAAGAGCCCCTGATTTGAAACACTGTCCTATCAAGGGGTACTTTCAGATGCTAGGAAGCCCGGTTCGTGGATCTACCTTCGAGATCCTGCCAGGGGTCTGGGTTATCCAAACGATCGCAAGCCATGTTAGGTCGTTGCGATTTAACGTTGAGGGCTGAGCAGACCATAGCAATTGCGGTCAGCGGCAAAGAACTGCATGCTTCAGTTCATGATGTCAGAAACTCCAGCCTGAGCAAAGTGCCACTCGGCGCCATAATCCGAACAGTAGCCCACGATGTCACGTGTGTACCGTTGGATGAGTTCGGCCTTCACGGCAAGCACTGTAAAAATCATCGAATTACATCCCGAGATCAGTTAAGGGATCCGAATCCTGAGTGGAGTGTGGGGTTAATTTGGCCCACATGATGATCTGACACACGTGAAGTCTAACTGCTGGATGGGTATTTCAGCATGGGCCTCATTGCCAAGGTCGCACATGATCGAGTGCAGAAGACCTTCGTATTTGCCAGCAACTCCAGAGTTGCCAGCGCCGACCACCGCCACTGGCAGTGAACTCGTCTTCAAATAATCCGACAAATTCCATGACGCGATCTCATCATCGGTCGCGTCAACCACCAGGCCAGCATACTGGCGTTCAATCCGATCTTCGAGCGTGAGCAGGAAGTCGGTGCCAGATTGCGGTGATGAATCGCTGGAGAGGAACACGAAATGGCCGGATGCAGATGATCGAATCTGCTCCTTGCGCCAATTCATGATGAGGACGTCCAGCAGCAGTCTGCTCCTTGACAATGTGCTTGGATGCGGCACCTGCATGACACTTGTTTGGAGGAGCTTCTGCACATGCCTTGGCCAAGGCCCAGGTGCAACGGTGCAACACACATGCACACGAATTCGAGCCCCTTGGTCGTTGAAAGGATACACCAACGGTGTTGCTAAACTGGATACAGGTGACTGGGCGACCGCGGCACCAAACACAAAGTGAACAGATCTGACGATGACCTGTGCTCATCGGCAGCCCTCACTTTAACCCTGCACCGAAGTGTCACGCGATCCCTCCCGAGTTCTGTGGACTAAAGTGTTCGTCCACTCCCACAGTGCCCTGATGCCTCTGGCAGCAACGCTGTTGATCGCAGATGTCGACCCAAAAGGATCGACTCCAGCAATCGAGCCACTGGATAAACAGCCGGCCGCCCCGCACGCCCAGTTCTGTGAACGTCAAGCGCTTCAGGAACTTCAGGAATCACCAGTGGGACAGCAGCTGCGGAGCTGCGATTGCCGTCCTCCTTTCCGACTCTCCGCAAGAACACGGAGAGAACTGAAATGATTTTGAATCTCGTTCGCACTGAAAAATCTGATAGGCTCTGCAAAATGTATGCTGAAGTTGAGATGTGCAATGTGTATGATCCTTCCGCATGCAGAACGTGTAAGCACTGCACTACGGGAACATACAGTTTCGGAGTCATCACCAGGTTGTGCCAGCCCCATGCCTCGGCCCTGCTAGCTTGTTGTTCTGGAACCTGCGAAAGGCCGATGCTACACTGCACACGAGATGCCAGCAACAACTGCACTCCCTCACGGGAAGCTGCGCAGGGCATGCGACTCAACACTATCTTTAGCACTTTAGCAGAGGGAGTGGAGGCAGTGGAAATGCAGCTCGACGAATCCTATTCGATTTGGCCCCGATGTCAAAGAATCAATGCCTCGGAACCCTGAAACCGGAAGCAATCCGGTTCTTGCCTGGGGCAGCAATCCTGGGTCCGAAGTCGCCACACCTGAGACGAAGGGTTTCTGAGACACTGGCGGAGGGTGGGTGGCTTCAAACCTTGCTTCGGGCTTATCTCCACGAATCTTATCCGATGCGGCCTCGCTTCGCAGAATCACTGACTCGGAACCTGAATCCCGAAGTAATCCAGTTCTTGCCTGGGGCATCAGAGCCAGCAGCGCCAGCGCAAGGCCCAAAGCCGCCATGCCTGAGACGGAGTTTCTAAGACAATGGTGTTGCAAGCACAATGACCCAGCTGCACCCACTTCATGTACACTGATTGTTTAGTAGTCAGGTCATGCTCACATCAGACTGGGGACTGGGCCCAGGTTATTCGATCATTTTGAGAAAACTAGAGTTTTTTGTTGATTACGTGAATCGGTACACCCACAAATTGGTGGAAGGATTTCAAGGGCGGCGGGTCTTCCCAGGACGATGCGGACAAACTTTTCATCAGCTGCAGCGGCACTGCTCGTGACACGTTGATGCCATGAAGCTTTATGCTTCAGAGGAAGATTGCGCAGCTCTTGGGAAGCAAAGGCTGGAAGATCAAGGCCAATGGTTTAAGAAGAAGGATCAATCCAGCTGGCCCACCGCCACTATTTGCCGTGAGCTGAACTTGCTGAACTCTTGGCCTTTCTGCCGGCTTGCCAGTCGTCCGGCAGGATGCAGTCGGCACCTGGGTCCACCTTCTCGTCGTGAAGCTTCTCCAGGCGGAAGCGCAGTTTGTCACGCGCGAAGCGTTCCCGCTCTCGGGCTTCCTCCAGTTTCTGGATCTTCCCTTGTGCAGCCTGGCAACAAGGATCAAATAGGATTATAAGTATGATAAGCCTTTGGGCTTGTAATTGTTTAGTTGCCATTAGTTGCCAACTAGGGAATTATCTTCGGTGGTCCCCAAGCCTTGAGATCCTCCACAATCGCGCGGTTCCGGCCCTGCTCCTCTTGGAACTGGATCTCAAGGCACTTGCGCTTCTCTCGCTCCGCTTTCCTTTCCTCGAAGCTCCGGTCCGCCTGCTGCTGAGCATCGTGCATGCTAGACATCGCCAGGGAAAGCGCGCGCTCGGCCTCCGTGCACTCCTCTTTGGCCTGGTGATGCTACCCCGAGCAATATTACATCAATTCTACACCTAACGAACCACTAACCAATTAAACTTGATTCTCTGAACCATGGCCTTCTGCAGCTCCGTCTGGGCGTCATCCCTCTCTGCAGTGAGCTGTGCATTGCGAGCCTCAACAGGGTTACCCTTGCCGAATGACTTAGGACAATGAGAAACAGCCCTTGAGACTACTTGATTATTTTGTGGTTTCTTTGAAGCTTTGAAACCCTCAAATCCTGGCCTGAAGATCTTCGATTTTAAGTCGCAGGTCCTTGAAGGCCTGGCCGCGCGGATATGATGTCGAGCTTGTATTCAACCTGCCCTTGCCACCAGTCTCTGCCTCTGCCTGGCCTTTGCCAGGCACCGAGCCAGCTCCTTCCTTGCCTTTGCAGCCTTTGCCAGGCACCGACCCAGCTCCCCAAGCATCTTCCTTGCCTTTGCAGCCGCCAGACACCCACCCAGCTCCCGCATCTTCCTTGCCTTTGCAGCCTTTGCCGGGCACCCAGCCAGCTCCCCAAGCGGCATCGCCAGGCACCCAGCCAGCTGCTCCCCAAGCGGAGTCACCGTCACAGCCTTTGCCAGGCACCCAGCCAGCTCCCCAAGCGGAGTCACCGTCACAGCCTTTACCAGGCACCCAGCCAGCTCCCCAAGCATCCTGGCCTTTGTAGCCGCAGCCTTTGCCAGCATCTGCCCAGCCGCAGCCAACATCTGTCCAGGGTGGGACTCCAGCAACTCCAGCATCCCAGTTTCCGCCCTTACCGGGCGGGAAAACATGGCCAGGCTCCCATCCGAACATCCTGGAGTTTGGACCTGCTTGTTGCTGTGCTGCGAGCTGCTGAAGAGTGCGCGTGATTGTGTGACTCGCTGAAGACAACACTGAGATGAGGAAGCCATGCGAACGTATAAGACTTCACTCAGCAAACTCTCTCACTCTGAGAAAATGCAGCAGTTTTCAAAGCACGACGCTCATGCTTGCATGCTGCTTCGCTGCCAGGATCAGAAACAAGCCACGTCAACATGAGATCTGGCACCCCTCCCCAACTCCATCATTTATGAACCATGTACACCCTGAACGGACTCAGGGCTCCGGAGTTCTACGCGAGCAAGCCATGTAACCAATCTAATTGACGCCGAATGAATCCCGCATTTATGAACCCTGTACACCCTGAATGGAGTCGGGGGAAGATGAAGGGCGGAACCCAGTCTACCCGACGATCGACTCCTGAAACTGCCAAGTGCTGTCACGGTGCATCTGGCCGATGCAGAACGCCACGGAAACAGCAGCGCTCGGCCCTCGGGACGCAGCAGCCATGCCTCAGCATGGCGGGAAGGTTGGCAGGTTGGTGGGTTGGTGTGGTTGAGCGGGATTGGCGTGATTGGGCTGCAAGGTTGGTGGGGCTGTTGGGGCGGTCGGCGGTAGTGCGGGCGGTGGTCGGGCGGGGTGCTTCCGGGCGTGTGTTCGCCTGCGGGGCGATGGTGCGTTGACAACTCAGGATTTTTGTGGGTTTTCGAGTTTTGGGTTTGGAGCGGAAGGTGCTATATGAATGTGTTCGAGTAGTCGATCAGGGCTTTAGAACCATCACGCAACTGTTGGAACCATCAAAGCAGCTTTGGTCTGGGCCGGTTTTGGGCCTGGGGAACCACGTTCAGGGAAAACTTCAATCCTCAAACAGTCGGGAACCGGTCCGAACCGCTGGATCTGCTCGGAAATGCTATGGTTGTGGCTTCTGATTCTGAGGCCACTGCAGCGAAAGCAGAAAGCACTTTGACAAGCAAGCGTCATGCTGCGCCGCGGCGCATTAGCAGCCGCCCTCGTACACCTACAGCCTGGACCTACAGCCTACGCGGCGCATGAACAGCCGCCCTACCGCCCTACCTACTTGTCGTACATCTACAGCCTACGCGCGGCGCAGTAACAGCCGCCTTACAGTCGTACACCTACCGCCTACGCGGCGCACTAACAGCCGCCCTACACTCGCCCTACCTATGCAGCGCATTAGCAGCCGCCCATAACGTCTAGTCTAGCCTTTGTATACACCTGTCCTATGCAGCGCACTTCCAGCCGCCCTGAATCCTATCCTAGCTTGCTACCTAGCCTACACGGCGCACGAGCGGCCGCCACGTAGCCTACCTACCGACGCAGCGCAAATACAGCCGCCTTATCTACCGTACCTACCTCGTGTATCCTTCCCTACACAGCCAGCGCTCTAGCAGCCGCCCCCAAGCCCTATTTATTCCTACCCTTTACAGCTTATCTTGTCGGGTACAGGGTCTAAGGGCTTAAAGTCGAAGTGTGCCATCTGCGATTGTTGTCGCATGCGCAGAAGATTCAACTGATTCAACTAACATGTCTCACGACGGTCTACATCTACCTCAATGAAGCTCACCTTCTATGTTGGCAATTGAACAATCAATCCGACACTTTAGGATTTCTGCATCTGAATAATAGGAAAAGTAGCCGACATCGAAGGGCCTGAGACTCGTGCCTCTTCGCTGTGGGCTCCTGTGGACCTGGTTGTCAGAGCATCTCGGTCATCGGCAGAGTACAATTAACCTGTCTCATGACGGTCTATGTCAACCCAGCTCAAGTTCCCCGATGGCGGCTGAACACTCAATCCGACACTCTGGGACTTCTGCATCTGAACGATAGGAAGCACTGGAAGCACAGCCGACATCCATGGACCTGAGACTCATGCTTCTCCGCTGTTCCGGACTCTGTACTCCTGTGGACCTCGGCCGAGCGCTCACCCGACTTCGTTTGTTGTCGCAGCATCTCGTTCATCAGCAGGATACATACAACTAACCTGTCACACGACCCTGTAGGCAACTGAACACTCAATCCGGCACTTTGGGACTTCCGCATCTGAACGATACGAAGCACAGCCGACACCTGA